TGTTGAAGTCGGGGAAAAGAGATGTGTAAAATACTGCAGAAAATCAGTGAAATGGTAGTACAGAGAATGCAAGGGGAAAAGATCAGAAGTGACTTCTGGAAGAAAGATCAGAAAAAGATGGTCACCAAGCTTACTGGAAGAGGGCATTTGAGCACTCAGACACAGTGAGTTTTTTGGGTTTTTTTTTTTAATTCAAGAAAGAAAATTAAATTTTGATTTACTTTGGCTCCATAAGGAATTAAGTTTGAATTGTAGCAAATTATCAAAAGTAATGACCAGGACATTTCTTCCATGGTATTAGTGTCATCTTAGATCAGACATTCTGTAACTTTGGTTGAAAAGTGAATGTTCATCTCAAATATTGTCTGATACTGTCTATAAGGCAATATGGAGTTTCATAAGAAAATATATGTTTAATAGACTATGTTGGAAAACACAAAATCTATTTATATGGTGATTTTTTCCACTAAAGGAAATGACTGGGGAAGTTAAGCTGTTACTGATGTGGCTGAATGATAATGATATACAATAAACTTTATTTTTAAAAAGTTCAATAAAATCTTTTCTAACCTCATAAGTCATTCCTTCTCCTAGATCTCCAAAGGAAATTCTGTCCATCTCAGGACACCATCATCCTGTGTTGCTACAATTACAAATACATATGTTGTACTTTGCTACAGGGCTTCACAGGAACATGAGTGAAACAATGACCACATGCCTGAACTATTAAAATCTTGTGGCAATGCAGCATTTGAAGTGTTCACAGAGAAAAGAAGTTCTAAGACTTAAAAGATATCCTTGAAATGCTTTACATATATGTGCTTTTTCTTAATTGCTACAACAGTTACAGAGTAGGATGAGAATATGTCCTTTTATAAGGTAAGCTGAAACACAGGATAGTTCTTGGTGAACTTAAATTTGGAAATGGTGCATCACATTAAGTCAGCTTCAGTGCTCAGTATTTTATTTCTGACACTTTAAATCCTAATTCTGAGGATCAGATGAGGAAGGGCATCTGACAAGTACTAACCAAAATTACTAGTGAAGATGAAAGCCAAGTGCCACCTTTCTGATGCTGTTAACTCATAAGTAGTTGTTATGAGAATCTCTTCTATTAGGTGTATTTTAGGGGAAAAATTAATTTTTTAATTAAATGAAAATGATAGATAGTGAGCAATGCAAGCATTTTTCCTTATGTTACCATGGTAAGCTACTTTTGACTTTAAACCATTCCTGAGCTCTTATTTTGAAAAGAAGGTATCTTTCAGAAAGTTGGAAAGAAAGACGTTCCTTTGGAATAAATTCTATTACCCTATTCCTGTTTGCTGTAATTTTATTTATTTATTTATTATTGATGCATATTCAATGTATGTATTTTCAGGGTACCTGTGATCATTTGAAACACTCATATAATCGAATCAGGGAAATTGTGATATTCATCACCAGTTAACATTAATTGATTGTATATTTCCCAATTGCTAGAAGAGAATCATTCAAAAGTTTTTAGCATTGTCAATTTTAAAATAAAGCTTTTTATATCACAGGGGAAAATTTTCCAACAAACTTTAATTGAAAATGGAGCAGGATTTATGAGGCTCTGCTAGTTCAATGTGAGGATGTCTTCATCCTTTTCCCAGGGAAAGAATGGTATTGGTGCCCCGTTCCCCTATGTAATTTTTATAGCTTCATGGATATCCTGTTTCCTGACTAAAGTGTGACATTTCAAAAATATGCAACTTTTTTTCTACATGATGCTAATATTCCAATATATGTCTATGCAAAATGCTTTAAGCTATTGATTATGTACTATATTACACTGTGTTCTAGAATATACCTACAGCTATCCAATGGATTTTGGTATGACCAGCTGGTTTGCAAACCAGCTCCCATTAATGTGAGCATTTATGTCACAGACTACAGTCATCAGCTTGATCCTGGAGCCACCTACCCTCAAAGATAAATTCCATCCATAAAATCAAGCTGTCATTGTGTTGAATTTTTAATAACATTAATTCATATGTCAAATGGTAAAGCCAAATTTTTTCATACTCATTGAATGGTAAATTTTAACTCAAAATTCCTGTTTTAGTGCAAGGAAAGTTATCCATGTTATAATCATGCTTTCTTGAGTTCTTGTAAATGTAATAGGAATAATGATATCAGATCATAATTAAATCATGTCATTCATTTTGCTGAGACAACTAAATTATAGCAAAGACATTATATATAAAATTTAAAAGAGATTCATGTTTTAAAAGGGTAGAAATGAAATCCTAGCTCTAAGATTTCTGAAAAATCAGTATTTCATGAGTTTGGAATTATAATATTTAATCCTCCAAATAATCAAGACAAATGGTAACTTAATCTTAAAAACATCTGCAATCAGTTCTACTGATACCAACAAACTGTTGTTAATCTAGCGCTCTGAGGGAGGGAAGGCAGCCTGGATTCGTTGTGTTTGCCAATTGCTATGGTGTAAACACCTACAACACAGCCAAATGAAAACATACAATGGTTTAACAACCAGCTGGCAAGATTCCTAAACGACCAGGAGCTGATTCCAGCTTACCACTGCCTGCTAATAAACCCTAATACTACATTTCTTTTATTTTTTTCCTAATAAAGTATTCTGAGGTCAGATGATAAACCTCTTATCCCTAAGATTTATGAATATGTTCCACAGTCTAGTGATTATTGACAAACTCCTACCAAAGTCTATCTGAGATGACCTATGCAGACTCACTCTACTAGTACTAGCTTGAGCTCTGTCTTCCCCAGGTGACAAAAAGCTCCATATGGATGACAGTCACGTTTTCCTTATGCATTTCTGTATTCCCAGCACATTGCATAGCTAGCAGTGCCGCCTGGTCTAAGATGTAAGCTACTCTTCAGCACAGAACTTTGTCTGTTTTGCTCACTGACAGATGCCAGCACTAACACGATATTTTCCACACAGTAGGTGCTCAATACATATTTCTAGAAAAAATGAATAGATAGAATACAAAATAACTAAACACGAAGCCATGCATAAAAGCCAAGACAGCAAATACAGTTATTGAGTTTCAGATAGTGTCTGAAAAATAAATCATAAATGATTCATAAACATCATGTTTTCCTGAGGTCCTTTATCTCGATGAATCATTCTAGCCTTGAGATACTGTGATTTCTCCTTTTTTTGTTGCCAGTTCAAGGCAGAATAGTTGAAGGAGTTGCACTGAGAGAAAATGTTACTTGTGTCCAAGAAGCAAATTTTATCCTGGGGCCAGTTGCATATCAGAAACTGGGTCTTGTTTTTCTCACTCCTATTTTCTGCCTCTTCCTGTCCCTTTTCTCTTTACTCCTCCACATAATGTGTTCCTCCAGCCTCTGATCCAATATGTTCCTTCTGGCTTCTCTAACTGGGGAGTTGGCTCTATTAAAATACAATTTTGCAAGGTTCAGGACATGATACAGACTTATTTGAACATGCAGTAATCATGGAAACATTGTTCTTCACATTCCTTGCTGGCTCCATATAAAAAGAAATTAAGAGTCCTTGAGTTCTCATTTATTACAAAGCTCAGAATCGGTGCTATAAACTGATCTAAAAAAGAAGCAGTATTCTTATGGAAACTAGGAATTGTGGCTACATGGATGATATATGTGAATAAAATGCTTCCAGATGTAAAATCACAAGCCCATGTTTCTGTTGTTTTTTGTCTTCTAGAGCATATCATGAGGAAACTGCCCAAATTTAAAGGAGAAACTGAAGCATAAACCTGGTGTGATTTCCGTGGCTAACAGAAGGGTTGTAATTTCATGGAAAAGTTGAAAAAATAAAAGAGAGGCTGTTCTTTAAGTGATAAGTCTTGGAAAAATTGTCTAGGTGAGTGAGAAAGAGACAAAGATTCATTAGAAAATTGAATGGAATCACCCTGAGTTTAAGAAGAAGGTAGCAGCTGGGAGGTTATTACATGCCCCGCTTCATGCGGGGGGGCAGTCTTAGGTTCTAGAAGCAGAACTCCAAAGCCCCTTAGAGAAAAGGGGAATTTTATTTAATCACCAAAGAAGGAACTGAACATCCAACCTCAATAGGTACCTCTAGAATAACCAATAGCTGTATAAATTGCTCACCACTTTCCATTGACTGCCAAGCATCTTAGTGATAGGAATATTACTGTAAATCTAAGTTTCAAAGATAGGAAAGAAAGGTCTGAAATTGATTACATCTAAGATTATAAACCATTTGTTCCTGTATCCTAATTGGAAATTCCACTGTAAAACAAACATGAGATCCTGTTTTATTGCACAATTCAGGAAATGTGGTAGTAGTGAAGAACATTTTGACTTTGCTTTAAATATCTAAATGTAGCAAATATGCATGATGTACAAAATACAGATACAGTGAGTCATGATCCATCATCTTTAGGCTGGGAAAGTAAGTCAGGTAAACAACGAAATTCTATTCATTCATTCTCTAGCTTTTAGTGCCATGCTAGAAATGTGAGGGGAATGCTTTGAGGACATGCAGAGGAGGTGGCATTTCAGCAGAGTCTGGGGGGCATTGGGGAGTACCCTCCAAGAAGAGATGAGACAAGACATCCTTCTGGGAGAAGAGCCTGAAAGTGTAAGCACAGCAATGCACAGAACACAGAGGCTGCTGTCCTCAGTATGCGAGGAGTCCCAGGAAGTAAAGCTGGGCAGTTGTGCATGCAATAAAGGATGAGCCACAGCACCCTGTTGAGAACAGGGAGTTTCCTCTGCTTGGAAAAAGAAGCTATGGGTAGTGTTCAGGTGGGTGAATAAATGACACAGTCCCCTGATGTCCTCCTACCTGGACAAGTATGTGACCAGAAGGAGTAGAAAGGAGGAAGAAGACAAAGCAAGGAAAACATGGTCGCACACTGAGGCACCTGTTGGCCTGCATCGAGCAGAGCCACCTTTTTGCCCTTTAGTTTTATCTATTCCCAAGGCATAGGTTGCATGGAGCATGAGAAGCATGGAAAGGTCTGTTTACTCACTGTTCTGAGGGTGCCAGCGCACAGCATTTAAGTAGGCGTTGCAGTAATGGAAGAGAAACTCGTGATCTGAGCGTTGGCTTTTCCCTTGAAGCAGAGGCATCAGATCATGTCCATCAATGATCCTGTAGGATAAACAGCCATTCATCAGGTGGTGAATTAGTTCTGTGCTCTTAAATGTCCTTCTGAACCAACAAAAGCATGATGGAGCTCAAGTCGTAATTAATACAAAGAAGAATGATCCTACTTGGGTGCCATATGTAACACATTGATCCCACCTCTGTCCATGCAGTATCTTATTATCTTTATTATCTTTGCTCTGCAAAGAGCACCATGAGCTGGGAACTACTGTTGGCTCATTGCACAGATGAGAAAACAGAGGCACAGAAAGGTTAAGTAATTTGCCCAAGTTAATGGGATGAATAAGAACTGATGCGATTGAAATCCAGGTGATCTGGCATTCACACTCTTATTCTTCCTGTTGCTTCTCCAAAACACAGTTGCTGTTATTACCTTACCAAAGGGAAAGTTTTATTCCTGAAATACAGGTCTGCTGAAAAGACAGGTACCTGACAATTTGGGGGTTTTTAAAAAAAGATACCATATTGCATGAGGCAGCTTGGATTGCTAGACTGCAATGAATATAAATTTCTCACCAGAATGAATTGATTTGTATATAATAATACCATTAACCAGGGAATGAATTATTCCCAAATGAAAATATATCTCCTCTACTAGTGGGTATCTAACTAGACCAAGAAGGAGAACTTTGCAGAGTGCAAACAATAAGACACATGCAATTGGTGATGAGCAAAATAAGATTGCTTATAGTTTGAAGAAAGGAATAAAGCATAAAATTGTGTTTTGCATTAAACATAAATTAACAGCTACTTGAGAAATTGAAGCCATGGATACCATTAGGCCATTGCCATCAAAATGAGGGGCAGAGAATTATTTTGAAAGGGTGAGTGTTTAACTTGAGGATTTTCTCTGATTAAAAACACTACATCTCTGTCATCTCTTGTTACAAGGCATTTAGAAACTGGAAGTTTGACATGGCTGTATAATTTGGGTAAGTGTGCTTAAGAGGTCCTATGTCTCTTGTGGTTTATTTTGGTGTCACTAAAAACCCATAATGTAATTATAGCCTTGTTGTTAGCACTTCTCCGGCCTCAACCCTTGTTATTAATCACGCATTCTGCAGAAGTCTGTGGACTGAAAATATTCTATTATCATAAGTTAAAAATAAGAACAAAAGACTGGCTTGGCTCACTTCCCAAACCAATGTTCCCATGAACCACGAGGGGAAGAGAAAAAAATATGGTAGAGAGAGTTCTATTCAGACACAGCGTGTGCCCTAAAATACTGTTTCCATCCTGAAATGGCAGTCATTGTGCTTGGTTCTTTTCAAATTCCTTTCAAGAAAGACTCAGGCCTTTTTGAGACCCCAAATAAAGTTGAAAGGAAGGAAGAACTGAGAGGGGAAGTGGGCAGGCATGAGAATTAGACCAGGAAAAGCCCCCAATGGTGAAAAGTGATCTGGAGGGAAGAGACAAGGGCTGGAGGATTCCCATCTTTTTCCAAGTGGGGAGAACGTCTTTCAATGACTCCCCAAAAGCAAGATGGAATCTCCATTTCCTGAGACACAGGCTAGACTTTTACTTCTTGAATCTGCTTTTTTTTTTCATTTTACAACAAAATTCAAATGTGATATAAGAACATGGGAGATGGAATTGCTGTCTTAAGATCAGTATGTTTCAAAAAAATTTTTTTTCAAGGTCTTGCTCTGATATTCAGGCTGGAGTATGGTGGTGCAACCCTAGCTCACTGCAGCCTCAACCTCCTGGGCTCAAGAGATCCTCCTGCCTTGTCCTCCCAAATACGCAGGACTACAGGTACATGCCACCATGCCCAGCTATTTTTCTTTTTCTTTTTTTTGTAGAGATGAGGTCTTGCTATGTTGCCCAGACTGGTCTCGAACTTCTGGTATCAAGTTATCCTCTGGTCTTGGCCAAGATCCGTATTTGATAACTGAAACTAATCATGGTTACAAGAAAGGGGGATTTCACTAAAACAAAATAAGACTCCAAGTTTCATAATTATGTTTTCTTACTTAGAAATGAAATTTCTGAGTTTTTTAAAGGAGCGACACAAAGTTTATTCTGCAAACTTCTTTTTCTTCCAATGTAGAGACAGACTATTTTTTTTTAAATATCCTACACCTAATGTGGTCCTTCCTAGAGGCAGGCCATAAATCACACTGCTATGAAAAGCCACCATTTAACACTGCTGAAGAAATATGGTCTGTCAAAGGAAGACTCATTTCTACCCTGAAAAATGGAAAGTGATCCTGTTGAGGTAAACTTTTAAGTGGTGTCTAAGGTATCAAAATATTTGGGATTGTTTTAAACCACTTGTTGGATTCGCAGTTGACCATGGCAATAACCCAGAGAACAGCACATTTCCATTAATGCTGCTAGTACAAAAATGTTTTTAGAATGTTGTGTTCTTGGGGAGATGGGCCAATCCACTTTCAAAGTGACCCAAAGCATTGCTGTTTTCTCTGGAAACAGTCTAACAGGCTTTTTCTTGCAAACTAATTCAAGTTTTTATAGCATGTTTACATAACAGCCAATGCTTAAAAAAAAAAAAAAGCAACACCAAAAAAACTGGATGTGGTTTCTGTCCTAGTGTACTCATGGCTCTTAGTGCAAAAGGGGATGTTTGGGAGTGTTTTTAATTTGGAAGGTGAAACTATTCTCCTTGGGTTCCTGACTGGCAATGATGGTAGCGCTATTAACAGGTTGTTTCAAGGCATCCTCATGTCAAAATTTAAGGTCAAGTTAAATACTATAGAGACAATTTTTACATAATTCTGGAAACCTTCCTTGAACCCTATTGATGTCATTCCTCCAAGAGCGTGCTGTGCTCTCTCTCAGCTCTGAGACTTTCAACATCCTCCTCCCTCCATGTGGAATGTCCTTTCCACCTGCCCTTTGCCTGCCCAACTCTAGAAGGACTGAAGGATCCTAAGAAATCGGTTTGGGGTGATATAGAAGGGAAGGTCTTGGAGACTAAAAGAGAAGCTTATTTGGGGCACGATGTTGGTGAGCAGCTTATTTGATATACAAATGACAATGATTTCAATGTAGACAGTCATAGTCAAGGAAACATTTTTATGAGAAAGTACATATATCTATAATAAACTAAAGGGAATCTTAAGTATCCAGAAAGTTGTTTTCAAAATTACGGAAAACATGTTTCCATTTGTAAACATTAAATCCTCTGCCATCGACGAACAGGAAGCAAGATCTGTATAAGTGGTTGCATGCACAAACTTGGGACTGTTCCAATGAAGAGAGTCACCTTTAATTCTGCAAAACCGATGTGACCCAGATATAGCTCACTGACTTTTTCATCTGTACTACTCTATTGAAAAGGTCTTCTCACTACCTATAAGTCAGCAAAAGTTACTGGGAGAAGTCAGCTAAATCCGTTCCTTGTCTCCATTAGACCAAAGTGTGTTGAGCATTAAAGCATTAGCTTATGTTTGTAAGTTAAAACAGATGAAGTCAATTTTTATTTTAATTACGGAGCAGAAGATCTAAATATTTCACCTGTAAAATTTTATTCTTTAGGTTGCCAGCACTCTGTTTCCTTGCATCCCAGCTGAAGGGTCTATGGTTAAAATGTTGATGTTTTCCGAAAGGTGTAACCAAATGTGGTTTGTTACCATTCTTTATTACTGATGTTAATACCATGTTAGAAAGAGGCATGGTCATACTTATACTATGGCAATATTATATCTGCTTGCAAAGATGAGACCCACAGAAAGTCTTTTCACGTTAATGAATTAAAACATTTAGGTATTAGATTCTTCCTTTTTGTAAGCCCTTGTTGCCTGCCTTTTGTAACACAAAAGGTTGTCCTCCATTTATTTCCAAAATCAGCTTATTTTGGAGACCTGGGGGGGGGGAATAATTTTTCTGAATATGCCCAGGGTGATAGACACTGAAATTTCTTCTGATAAGTCATGCCACTGAATGAAAATGAATCACTTAAGTGTGTATGAAGGAAAAATTCACTCCCAGAGAGAAATCTCATGTAAGCATCCCATACGGTTGAATTGAAGAACTATTCTCACTGCAGTGTTAAGATGCTGCAAAGCAAAAAACAAAAAAATAAGAAAAGAAATTCTTTCCTGTATTCCTCTAGACTACCTTTCTTTTTGCTTAAGTAAAAACCCTGGATCCAAGGGCTTCTGCTCTCCCAGCATGTTTTGATTGGCCAGGAGGGGCTCCCACTAGATCCAAAATGTTTCTTGAGAATTACAGGACAGTGCTTGAAGAATGGGGGTCTGCTGAACAGAAATTCTCTGCTTCAAACAAAACGCAGAAAGAAGCAAAGGCACTTTGTTAAGTGCTCGTCAAACAGCCTTTCCAACCCTCTGAATGAGTTTCTTATCCTGAGAAATACAAATTTAATTAGCTCTAGCAGGAAGCTGAGAAAGCTTATTTGCACCTCTCTGAGCAGGAAAGAGTTAAGGTTATTTTCTAAAGGACAGACGTCTGTGTATCACATTTATTGATGGATATAGATGTGATGGTACTGTCTAGATGCTTTTATTGAAAAGTTTGAATGGGATTTTCCATTATAACAACATTTTCCATAAAAGAGCAATAATACGTTTCAGGGTAGGATATCTCAACGTCAGCACTACTGACATAATGGGTAAGATAATTCATTGTAGTACGGGTCTGTGCTGTGTGACGTTTAGTGGCACATCTGAGCCAGTAGCATCCTGAGCCAAGACAATAAAAAAATGTCTCCGAGCATTGATAAGTGACCCCTGGGGGAAAACACTACTTTAGATACTCAAATTCTTCTAGACAAATATGTAAGAATATTACTAGACCTGGTTGGCAATATGCTTTAAATAAACTACTATGTGATAATGTTATTCCCACAAGGCACTTGGAAGCACATTTCTATTTTCTAATCTGTGCTGTCTCTAGGATGATGAAGGCATTTTACACCTGGACTAGTACCAGAAGCTTGGACCTCAGAAGCAATTGTCTGTGGTTTAAAACCAGGTCAACAGGCCGGGAATGGTGGCTCATGCCTGTAATCCCAGCACTCTAGGAAGTCGAGGTGGGTGGATCTCCTGAGGTCAGGAGTTCAAGATCAGCCTGGCCAACATGGTGAAACCCCATCTCTAGTTAAAATACAAAAATTAGCTAGGTGTGGTGGTGTGCACCTGTAGTCCTAGCATGTTGAGAGACCAAGGAAGGTGAATCACCTGAGGTCAGGAGTTTGAGATCAGCCTGGCCAACATTGTGAAAACCTGTCTCTACTAAAAATGCAAAAAAATTAGTCAGGCATGGTGGCACATACCTATAGTCCCAGCTACTTGGGAGGCTGAGGCAGGAGAATCACTTAAGCTATGGAGGTGGAGGCAGAGGTTGCAGTGAGCCGAGACTGCACCACTGCACTCCAGCCTAGGCAAATGAGCAAGACTCTCTCAAAAAAATAACAAAAAATAATAAAAAAATAAGCAGGTCAACAAACACCTTCAAGGTCCATGAAAGGAATCAGAAACACAGGGGAAATTTCAATATTGACAGTTGGTTCTACTGATGATGCAAACCCACACAAAAAATACTTGGGTCTGCTAAAAGGGAGGCTATTTCCTTCTTCATTGAGCACATACAAGAAACACAGATTGGTCTCCATCAGTTTCAGCCTGGAGTGGCTAGAAGTCAGAAGCAGTAAGATTTCCCTTTAGGAATCTTCCTCTTTACCTCTGAACTTTTTCCTTACCTTGCTTTTCCCCCACTGGATAGAAAACCATTCCAAAATATTATGAAAGTGAAGAGTGGTGATGGTTTTAATATTATGGGTCATGAGAGAGAAATGTAATAAACAAGATTGCCTGAACACTCAGTTCTAGCTACTTGAGGAAGTATTAAGCTTTATTCCAAAGGTAAGAACTACAACCAATGAGGAAGTGAAATAGAGAATGAGATTTTTGGCTTTATATAGGAAAAATCTTTCTACGAGTTACTGCTGCCATGTCTTCCATCACTAGAGTGGAAAAGAAAGAATAGTTCAATTGGAGTAGAAGATCTTAAAATTCCCCCTTTGCCCTCAGATCCTATGATTTTATGACCATGGATGAATATTAAATATGGAAGAGGAAAGAAATGGACACCTGACTACTACCTCAATATGGCAGGTAAAACAAAAAATAACAAATATTCACACCTTCTTTGTACTGCACATTATAAGCAAGGAGGTTTTTAATCTTCCTATTGACCCTATAAAGTCAGTGCTATTATTGAACCCATTTTCCAGAGAAGGAGTGGAGGCCCAAGAAAGTTAAACACTTACCCTGTAGTGATGACAAAAATATGAACTTGGCTGGGCTTGGTGGCTCAAGCCTGTAATCCTAGCACTTTGGAAGACCAAGGCAGGAGGAATTGCTTGAGCTCAAGAGTTCAAGACCAGCCTGGGCAACATGGCAAAACCCCATCCCTACCAAAAATACAAAAAATTAGCTGGGCATGGTGGTGCATGCCTGTGGTCTCAACTACTTGGGAGGCGGGAGCGGGAAGATCACTTGAGCTTGGGACTAGCAGGTTGCAGTGAGCCGAGATCGCACCACTGCACTGCAGCCTGGGTGACAGAGTGAGATCCCTTTCTCAAAAAAAAAAAAAATGAATTCAACCAGTGCCGATTTAGAATCTCCACTCTTAGCTATAGCACCTGCTAGTCTCAAAGAGTGATCCAGAGACTCTCAGGAATCTCTAGGATCCTTTCAGGAGGTCTGTGAGGCCGTGTTATTTTTTGCAACAATAGGAAGGCACTCTTTGTCTTTCTCACTGTCCCTCTTTCAGGAGTGTACAGTGGACATTCCCAGTGGTAACAGGATGAATGATGACATCATCAATGTATTAGCCAATGGTATGTGAGCTTGGGGTGCTGTGTTTTAAAAAAAATTATTTTTTATTACTAATATAATAATTATAGCTTGACATAACCTTCTTAAGTAAAAGATCGTTGGGGTCCTCAATCATGAAAGAATTAAAAGGGGTTTTGAGACCTCAAAGTTTGAGAACCAGCTGAACTGTCAATGCTGTGCTTCTCGTTGGTGTGTGTCTATGTGTATGTTGAGGAAGGGTGTATACCTAAAGCAGAGTTGAAACCTATACCCCAACAAGCCTGAATACAGTGGGAGGGGAGGAAACCTATCTTTGAACTTGCTTTGACAGCATGGTTGTTTGTGTCTTTCCTTTCCTCTTTCCTCTTCCTTCTCATTGCAGCTGAATTTAAACGAGATTTGCAGCTGCCTGCCTGACATTAGCCTGGCCTGCCACCAAACTAATGAAAACAATTAATCAGTGTGCTTCACTTAAAACTCTTCAGATTGGTAATAACACTTAGGAAGAAACCACTGGCAATGTCATATGAAGTCGTATTTAAATTTAAGAGAAAGACATTTCATTTAGAACTTCTCAGTGAAGACGTGCTGGGAAATGGGACCTTAGCTGGGGAATCGGCTGCATTTCTCACTGTTACAGCAAAAAGCTGCTGAGTATGGACGAAAGAAAAGGTGTGGGATCCCAATGTGGGAGGTTAAAGAGGCTGTGGCCCAGGTGCACAACGGCAAGCAATGGTGGGATGAACAGACGAGAATAACAGTGTGAGCACAATGCCGAAAGATGAAGGCTGAATTAAATACCAGCCATCCACATTCCTGGTCACTAAAAACGTTCAGTGCCTCTGAGTTTATTTCCCTCCGGGATAGAGATTGGCAGATGCGTTTTTACACTGCGGAACCCACCAGTGAGGCCCCTCACTGGACAGAGATAACAAGTCCAGCTGGAGGTAGCATGACACTGAGGCCTTAGAAGCAAAAGTTTTTCTCTGACATTCTCCTGCCTTCTTGTCTCTCAGTCCCATTCCACCCCAAAGAGCCAGAGAAACCAGAGTCCTTCTTCCCCAATGCAGGTCATAGGAACCAAAACCACTGATACCCAAAGTCAGCATCAAACCTAAAAATATCATTCCAACTTTTCCCCTGCCTTTCTGTGTAAAAACAGCCCGACATAAATAAATCCTCTGACCTTCCTTGTTTCACTGTAAGTCCTAAAACCCCCATCCCAGAGAGGGCCCTGGCCCATGCCCAGAAGGAAGGAGCAGTGCTCAGAGAGGCCAAGAAGAATCTAGATAGACAGGCCTAGCTGAGTTTTCCTACTCAGTCCATGAGGTGAGATCTTTCCCTCCAATCCTACTTGTACACATTGCCCATACTTTGTTGAACCACAGCATAAAAATGAACAATCTCCCTTGTATCTTTGGCTCTTTCTTCAGAAGCCTCCTTTGTATATACATTAAGTAAATTTATATGCCTTTTATCCTATTAATTGGCCTGCCTCATACCGATGATTTTCAGGAAAACTCTAGGGGGCCAAAGGCCTTGGTCCCCACACCATTATGCAGGCAAACTGGAGCATATTGGGCTGTGAAATCAGAGCTCAACAATACCAACCACCCTGGCATCAGAGTACCTGTCCTCAGGCAAGGGTGCTCCAGCCAGCTTGGCTACTGTAGGAAATATGTCCATGTTGCTAGTGGGCTCATCAATCTTCTGGCCAGCTTGTATCACCCTGGGCCAACGAAGGATGCCTGGAATCCGGATACCTCCCTCCCAGTTATTTGCTTTTCCTCCTAAAAGACCAAAAAAGAGGCAACAGGGAGATTGCAGTGCTTTCAACATGAGCGTTGAACAATGGACTCTTCCAATGCCTGGAATCCGGATACCTCCTTCCCAGTTATTTGCTTTTCCTCCTAAAAGACCAAAAAAGAGGCAACAGGGAGATTGCAGTGCTGTCAACGTGAGCGTTGAACAATGGACTCTTCCAATGCCTGGAATCCGGATACCTCCTTCCCAGTTATTTGCTTTTCCTCCTAAAAGACCAAAAAAGAGGCAACAGGGAGATTGCAGTGCTTTCAACGTGAGCGTTGAGTCAATGGACTCTTTCATGCTCAACGTAGAAGAACCAAGTGCTCTAATTATATAGATACCATCCATGAGTATTCTAAGAGCAATATAGTATATGTTGTGTTAGAAAAAGGAAAATATATGATACACCATATGTGAGGCGGTCAGCACTGTACAGCATCTTGAACAAAAACTCATCAGACAGACTCAACGCAACAAAGATTTGAGTCACCAAAGATTCAAATCCATGACTGGAGTCAGGGAATTCAAGTTCCATTTCTTCTTTATACCAGCTGTGGTAGGCAAAATAATGATGCCCCCAAGTGTCTGCATCCAAATTCCTGGAGCCTAGAGCCTGGGGAAATGGGTATTTTGCCTCATATTGCAAAAGGGACTTTAAACATGTGACTAAGGATTTTGAGATGAAGAGATTACACTGCATCGTCTGAGTGGATCCAATGTAATCATAGGGTAGTAAAGCAAAAATAAAATTCTAAGCCCCTCAACTAAGTGAATGGACCCCTCCTCTCAGCCAAGGGCATTCCAAAGGCTTAATCTGAAACACTAGTTCAGGCCATGATGGAAAGAGGGGATTGGACATGCCTCATTTTACCCTCCTTCCTTTGGAATTCAGGTACAACTGATCAGCATTAACATTAAAACAGGGCTTTGAAGACTGGACAAAAGAGACTCTTTGTAGCAATAAGATACCAACAGGACAGATAGCAGGCCCTAATAGAAATTGAAATAGTTTACCCCAAAATATATTTCTTTGACATATTTCAAAATAGCCCCACGAAGCTGTCTCTATGGGGAAAGACTACATTCTGTAGACAATCCCCTTCTCTTTTGGGGTCTTTTCCCTGATCCAGGTGAGAACTGACCAAGAGTCTGGTATCTTTCAAGTCTGATAAGAAACATGCGCAATCAATTCTCTCTGAAGCCTGCTATCTGGAAGCTTCATCTGCATAATAAGAACCTTGGCCTCCACAACCCCTTTAGCCCAGACACTCCCTTCTATTGACTGCAGGTCTTTAGATCAACTCTTTCAACGAACTGCCAATCAGAAATTCTTTGGGTCCACCTATGACCTGAAGCCCCCTCACCCCACAGTCCTTGACTTTGACTCACGCTACCTTTCCAGACTGAACAATGTACATTTTACATGTATTGATTGATGCCTTATGTCTCCCTAAAATGTAGACACCAAGCTGTACCCAGAGCAACTTGGGTACATGTTCTTAGGATATCCTGGGGCTGGGTCAACTTGGCTCTGAATAAATCTCTTCAAACATTTTGCAGAGTCTGACTCTTTTTGTCGACAGGGTCCTTTCAAGGGAAAGGGGGAGTTGGAGAAGCGGGGGCGGGGGGTGTAATCACAGAGAGAAGCTGGAAGATGCTATGCTGCTGACTTTGAAGACAGAGAAGGGCACCCCAAGCCCAGGAACGTAGGCAGGCTTTAGAAGTTGGACAAGGCACAGAATCAGATTCTCCCCTAGAGCCTTCATCAAGGAACACAGCCCTGCCAACACCTTGATGACCCATTTAACTGATGGTTATTCCCAAAGGAAAATAAATCATTCTGCCGAAAAGACACCTGTACTTGTATGTTCACTGCCACAACATTTACAACAGCAGACATGGAATTAATCCAGGTGTCCATCGACAGGGATTGGATAAAGAAAATGTGGTACATATACATCCTGGAATACTACACAGCCATAAAAAAGAACAAAATATTGTCCTTTGTAGCAACATGGTACAGCTAGAGGCCATTATCCTAAGGAACAGAAAATCAAACACTGCATGTTCTTAGTTATAAGTGGGAGCTAAACATTAGGTACTCATAAACATAAAGATGGAAACAACAGACACTAGGAACTACTAGTGGGGAGAGATGGAGGGGGCCAAGGAGTAAAAAACTATCAGGTACTGTGTTCATTACTTGGATGACAGGATCATTAGAACTCCAAACCTCAGCATCATGCAATATACCCATGTAACACACTTGCATACATATCCTCTGAATCTAAAATTAAAAAAAAAAATGTTGTTTTAAGCCACTAAATTTGTGGTCAATGATTACAACAGACCTAGGAAACAGATACACCAGCCCTGTGCCCTTGAGAAAATAGCTTGAGCTATCTGTCTCATATTCCCACATGTTTTCATGTGAGTGTTACATAGACTGATTATCCCAACTGCCAAGCTCAGTGCCTACAAGACAGGAAGGGCACAAAAATGGCTATTATCATTGTTGTTATTATTTTATTACCAGGTTGACTCTTACCAGGATAGTTGAGGGAATAGGCTTTGTGCCTACGAGGCAATTAGCATATAATTAAATATGGCATTGAAAGGGTACTCACTGGCAGAGGCAGGAAGGGTGAGTTCAGAGTTGATCAGAATGTCAGCAGATAATCTCAGAAGATGGTCACTGATGGAACCAAAATATTTCACCCCAAAATACTTTTCTTTGGTATATTTTGAGATGGATGTTCAGAGGGTTGCAAACAAGCAGCCCTGCAAAGCTGTCTTTTGTTAGGGAGATTTCCATCTGTAGAGAAAATCTGGCTGGGCGTGGTGGTTCATGTCTGTAATCACAGCACTTTAGGAGGCCGAGACAGGTGGATCACTTGATGTCAGGAGTTCAAGACCAGCCTGGCCAACATGGTGAAACCCTGACTCTACTAAAAATACAAAAATTAGCCATGCGTGGTGGTGCACACCTGTAGTGCCAGCTACTTGGGAGGATGAAGCATGAGAATTGCTTGAACCCGGGAGGCAGAGGTTGCAGTGAGCCAAGATCTCACCACTGTGATCCAACCTGGATAACAGAGTGAGAAGCTGTCTCAGAAAAAATAGGGAGGGAGGGAGGGAGGGAGGGAGGGAGAGAGAGAGAGAGAGAGAGAGAGAGAGAGAGAGAGAGAGAGAGAGAGAGAGAGAGAGAGAGAGAGAGAGAGAATCTGCATTGACGCAGCCAGGCTTTCTCTGAAGGCCTCCCTTGCCTGATCTAGGAAAGATGAACTGAGACTGACATTTTTAAAGGTCTGAAAGAAGTATTCACTATGTCTTCTCTCGGTGGGCAGGGTCTCAGCATAACAAGACCACCTTTGCTAGCCAGGCCTCCTCTTCTCCCCTCCTAACCTGTGTGGCTACGAGTCAAGGCCCCATTCTTTCTGTAACCTCAAGATGGTGTAAAAGCATCAACCATCTGGCCATTTCTTTGAGATCTATTTTATAAGGCTCCATGCATGTAAATAAATTTGTGTGTCTTTTCTCAGTTGCCTTTGTCAGCTGATTTTTGGCAAACCTTCAGAGGTCAAAAGGGCAGTTTTCTTCTGGCCCCTATATTACCAATACCTCCCACTTGAGGACTGGAGACCAAGCACTCCAGTATAGGGCTCAGACAGGCCAGGGCTGAGGTCACTCTGGCTGGGCAGGTGACCCATGGCTGGGGGAATAAACACTGCTTCCCCACCCTTTATGACAAACAGAGCATAGAGCTAAGTGGCACTGAAGTAGCCATCAGGAAGTTAGGCTGGGGACAAGGGAGTGGAGTGGAGTTAAAGTTCAGCTACTCTAAGAAAGAGGCTGTTTTCAACAATTGGTGTGAAGCATTAAATAGACAATTAAGTGAGAATGAAGCCAATGAAAAAATGTGCGTTCCTCACAGGAATATCATGTGTGAGTCCCACTGGAAATAAATGCCACTTAAATTTAGAAAGCAAACTACTAGAGACAGAGATTTCAGGGATCCTGAAGCAAATCTCTATTGTTAAAAGCTCATCTCCCTCTCTTTTTGAACCTTTACAGGAATACCTCCTTTTAGTGCACTCTGCTCTAGTGTGCTTTTCAGATGTTACATTATTTATCTATGTATGTATTTATGTATTTCTTTTTAAACTTTTATTTTTGGTTCGGGATGCAGGTGCAGGTTTGTTATATAGGTAAACCGCACATCTTGGGAATTTGGTGTGCAGATTATTTCGCCACCCAGGTAATCAGCATAGTACCTGATGATGAGTGGTTTTTCAGTCCTCTCCCTCCATCCACCCTCCAGTCTCAAGCAGGTCCCAGTGTCTATTGTTCCCATCTTTGTGTCCATGTGTACTCAATATTTAGTTCCTTCTTATAAGTGAGAACATACAGTATTTGGTTTTTGGTTCCTGCATTAATTATCTTAGGATAAATGCCTCCAGCTCCATCTATGTTGCCGCAAAGGATAGGATCTCATTTTTTCATGGCTGCATAGTATTCCATGGTGTGTATGCAGCACATTATTTTAAACCAGTCCACTGTTGATGGGTATTTTGGTTGACTCCATGTCTTTGCTATTGTGAATAGTTAAAAGCTCATTTCTTACAGCTAAAGACTGTAGACTGGATTCCTCTCCTCAGCAGGCTCTGACCTTTGCTGATGTTCTATATGCACAGGAACTTAGGGGAGATTCCTAGGGAAGTTCACATCATGCTTTGTAGTTTTTGTGATGGCTTCCTAAGAAAGTTAAAACTCTTCCCCTTATTTTATCTTTTCAACATCACCTGAAGGTAATTCTCTCACAGATACTGTGATTCCTGCTTCACAGAGATCACAGCCAAGAAATGGGAAGTGTAACTACTTTGCTGTAGTTCATTCAAGCAGTTGAAAGCAGAGCTTTGGGAGGAATCTCAATGTGTGAATTACAGTCTGGTTCTCTTTCTGCTCCATCAAACTCATAGAATTT